GACCCCATGCTAGGGGCCAGTGCATAAAAGCTGTGTGTGGCAGAATAAAGTTCAGTTGTACTCTCTGTGGCGGACAGCCTGGCACCCCGCCTGGGTACCTTTGCCAAATGCGCTTCCTAGTTGTGACAGATTCACCAATATTGCTGGTTCATCTGTTTCCCTTTGTTTCGCTGGATTGCCTGTTCGTATGCCCCTGTTCGTGTAATTACAAAATGCCGATTGAAACTACCGAACGAACGACCACCCAGGAGAGGAGTGTGCTGCTGGTTAACCTCTTGGCCCCAATTAGAACGTTGTGGTTAACCGCAGACACCTCTCCATTCCATTCGTATGGGTGACCTGCATAAATACCGGGCAGGTAGCCCCCATTAAACAGAACCTTATTTGACCCTCAAGACGGAGCTTGGTCTCGTTTGTGGGGGAATTACTATTGGGACAGCGCTTTCGTTATTTTTAGCTGTGGAAGGCGTTCGACTGTTTTGCTGATCGGGAATTGCCGTGTTCGTGAACTTCGTTCGGGAGTTTGGCGGTCGGCTGGATATAAACTGCATTTCTGGAGAAGGGGATTATTCACTAAACGGCGGCTTCATCTACCTGGCGGTGAGTGTCTTAACAATTGGTGGCAAGCGACGGGATGAATCCTACCGCCCAGAAGGCCAGCTACACATCCCAGGGTGGAAATGCAGTATGACGAGTTAAGGCGTGCTACCCTTAAAGATATATTGGAACGCAGAGGACGATCAGCGAGTAATCTCAAGAAAAGAGAGATTATTGCCATATTATTGGAAATGGATGCAGCACAGGGAACGGGGAGAGCTGATGTACCTGGCATACTGGAGTTAACACCCGAGGAGATACAATTTAACCGGGCAGTCCAGATCAGGCTGGCACACTTTGGCCCCAACCCCGCAGCAGATATTGTGGTTCAAGTGCAAGCAGCAGTAGCAGCACAACAGGCGCTTCAGGGAAAAGGAGCAGCAGCAGCTGAGGTACCCTATAATAATAATGGAAGGAGGAAGGTACCCTTTGCTGCATTTAGAAATTTTGTAGAAGCCGAAGGAGAGATTGATGGGTTCCTGGCTGATTTTGAAAGGCAATGTGCCTTACACCAGGTACCTGCAGAGGAATGGGTCACCATCCTCTCTGGGAAGTTATCCGGCCGGGCCAGTGAGGCGTTTCGGGCCATCCCAGAGGAGGAAATCACCAGCTACAGGGCAGTAAAAGATGCCCTTTTGGCCAGATACGCTGTAACCCCTGAGGCGTACCGGCGACGATTCCGGGACACCAACAAACAAGCTGGCGATTCTTATGTGGAGTGGGCATGCCGAGTGCACCGCACAGCAGCCCACTGGATGGCAGGGTGCCAAGCGGTAACTGGGGAAGAAGTGCTGCAAGTGTTTTTGTTGGAGCACTGCTTTGATCGCTTACCTGCAGGAGTCAGAGAGTGGGTTAGGGACCGCAAACCCACTACCTTACCCGAAGCTGCTCGTCTGGCTGATGAGTACACTGATGCACGGAAACTGGACCAGACAGCAACCAAGGTCCCTACCCGAGTGGAGTACAAACCAGCAGCCCCTCCAACCACTGCAGTGTATCAACCCCCAGCGCAACGCAACCCCACAATGCCAACAGCGAACAATTATGTTCAGCCAGCCCGGTTCAACGCCCGGGATTACTCACAGCCTATCCGGTGCTATGGGTGCAAACGATTGGGGCACAAGAGACCGGAGTGTCCATTGAACAATTCCAGCCAAGCCCAGTCGTGGAGAAGACCAGCCGGCGGAAATCAGCAGCCACCCCAACCTTCCGCTCACTGCCTTGAGCAGGAGGAATTTTGGGGTATACTACACGAGGTGGATCCAGTACAAGCAGCACAGCAGGATAACCGACAACAGCACAGGCAGACCGTTAAACTAAATGGCAAAGCAGTAACTGGTCTGAGAGACACCGGAGCCACTATGACCTTGCTCCAAAAGAACCTTGTTTCAGAACACCAGCACACTGGAAATACTGTGGCAGTGAGGGTAGCGGGAGGTGCAGTGTTCCGTCTGCCTGTTGCCCGGGTTCATTTGGATTGGGGAGTGGGCTCTGGACATGTGAATGTGGGGGTCATGAAAGACTTACCTGCTGATGCTTTGCTCAGGAATGACTTGGCCCCTTTGGTGTCCGCTTATGCTCCAATGGGACCTGCTGATATCAACCCCGTGACTACCCGTGCTCAGACCCGTGCTGCTGGAACCAGCCCACCTGCTGCTGAGACCCAGGTAAGACCCGATTCCCCGACTGGTACCCTAGAACAGACCTTCATTAGCTGGGATTCCCCAGAGGAGTTTGGGAGGGAAACCCAGACAGATTGGACGCTCCAGAAGTATAGGGACAGGGCAGATACTGGAGAGGAAGGAGTAGATGGGGAACGGTATGAGTGGGTGGGGGACAGGTTGTATAGGATCCCCAAGCTTTCCCCGAAAAGTGTTGCCCCTCTGCCGAATCGACAGCTGGTGGTGCCCCCAAAATACCGGCAGGAGATTCTGCGGATAGGGCATGATGTTCCGCTAGCTGGACATCTGGGTTCTCGCCGCACAGCCTATAGGATCATGCAGAACTTTTTTGGGCCAAACTTTAATCAGGCTGTGCGGGTATATTGTAGTACGTGTGACACATGTCAACAGGTAGGAAAATGGGGGGACCACCCCAGAGCTAGGCTTATGTCTATGCCTATCATTGGGGAGCCCTTTGCCCGTATAGCCATTGACATTGTGGGTCCACTGGCCAGGGCTAGTCCATCCGGTAAGAAATATATTCTCACTGTGGTGGACTATGCCACTCGCTATCCAGAGGCAGTAGCGCTGTCTAATATAGAGGCAGAGACAGTTGCTGATGCCCTGGTTAGGATTTTTACCAGAGTCGGGTTCCCTAAAGAGATTCTCTCTGACCAGGGAACCCAATTTACTGCTGTGCTCACCCAGCAACTGTGGAAGGTGTGCGGCATTAAACCGCTGCTTAGCTCACCTTACCATCCACAAACTAACGGTCTCTGCGAGCGATTTAACGGGACCCTCAAACAGATGTTGAGGACCTTTTCTGACACTTGCAGAGACTGGGAGCGATTCCTGCCTCATCTGTTGTTTTCCTACAGAGAGGTGCCCCAGGAATCTACTGGGTTCTCCCCCTCTGAGTTGCTATATGGGAGAAGGGTCCGCGGACCCCTAGATCTCATTAGAAGCCACTGGGAGGGGGAGACAGAGCAGGAAGGGACCCCCATTGTACCGTATGTTCTGGAACTCCGGGACCGCATGGAGAAACTGTCTCTAATGGTAAGGGAGAATCTCCAGGTGGCTCAGGGGAGACAGAAGAGATGGTACGATCGAGGTGCCCGACAGCGAGTCTTCCAGGTTGGGCAGAAAGTGTTAGTGCTCAAACCTGTGAAGGCGAACAAGATGCAGGCATCCTGGCAGGGCCCGTATAAGGTGTTAGCGCAGGTATGTGATACTACCTACCTTATAGCCAGCTGTTCGGATGAAAGGATCCAGCGATCCTTCCATGTATCAGGAGAGACCGGAGAATGTTGCTGCGGTATGTGCCCCTGCTGCAGATGACACAGAAAGTTTACCCTTACCAGATTTGTTAGAGAGGGACTCCCAGACGGATCTTACTAGCCTGGTACAGCTAGGGGACAGATTGAGCCCCACCGAGAAGGACCAGGTCAGACAGCTTCTGTGGGAGAAGCAGGCGACGTTCTCCCAAGAACCTGGCTACACTACCCTAGCTGTACACAAGGTAGAAACCCCTGGACAGAACCCTCTACGACAACCCCCTTACCGTATCCCTGAAGCAGTCCGAGAAGGAATGCGGAAGGAGATACAGGAGATGACCCAGCTTGGGGTCATCGAACACTCCGATAGCCCTTGGGCTTCGCCTGTAGTCCTGGTGCCCAAGAAGGATGTGACTACCCGGTTCTGTGTGGACTACAGGCGCCTCAATGAGCGGACCACCACTGACGCCTACCCGATGCCCCGGGTAGACGAATTGTTAGATCGCATTGCCAGAGGACGCTATCTGGCCACTATAGACCTGTGCAGAGGCTACTGGCAGATTCCCCTGGCCGAGGATGCTATCCCCAAGTCGGCCTTCGTCACCCCATTTGGCCTGTACCAATTCAAGGTCATGCCATTTGGGATGAAGAATGCACCAGCTACCTTTCAGCGTATGGTGGATAGACTTCTTGATGGATTCCAGGAATTTGCTTGTGCCTACCTGGATGACATTGCGATCTACAGTGAGTCCTGGGAGGAACACCTGGTACATGTAGGGGTAGTACTGGACAAAATTCGGGCCGCTGGCCTGACATTGAAGCCAGAGAAGTGCCATTTA